AAAAAAAAAAAAAAGAAGGAAAAGAAAATGACAACACCGCAGATCTCTCCCTTGTGCCATGCCCGGGCTCTAATTTCTCCAACCCTAAGATATTCACTGAGTTGGTTTTTAAGAGCATTTATTCCCAGGTTTTGATGTGTCTTTAAATGGAATCATACTACCTAATCTTTTGTACTTGGCTTCTTTCCATCAGTATTATGTGGATGAACCTCATTATTTGTAAGGTTCTTCCATAGTTTCACATGTTACAGCAGCTGGTTCCTTTTCATTGCTATATAGTATTCCATTACATGAATATTCTAACATTTCTTTATCCATATACTATTGATGATTATTTGAATTTTAAAAATAGTGCCACTCTGAATAGTTTGTGCATGAGATTTGTATGCATTTCTGATGGCTGTATGTTTTAGATCATTGATTAATGGATATGCAAATATTCAACTTTACTAGACACTGCAAACTAGGTTTTCAAAGTGTTTATCCCAGTTTAATCTCTCAGTATGTATGCATATGGTACTTCTATTTGTCCCCACAGTCTTGTCAGCACTTGATATAGTCAGAGTCTTTAATTTTAGCTTATTCCAGGGATTTTAATTTATTTAATGTATTTTGGTTTTAATTTGTATTTCTTTGAAGACCAGTGATGTTAGACATTGTCCCATGATAATTAGGCATTTAGATATCCTATTGTGAGAAATGGTTGTTCAAGTTCTGCCCATTTTTCAATTAGACAGTCATTGATTTAGAATAGCTCTTTGTTTCTTTATTCTGGAAAAGTATTGAACTATCTCCTCTCACAGGGTGGCATGACTTCCACTGTGATAGTGACATGTTTTAATAAATGGAAGTTCTTACTTTTTATGTAGGCAAACCTATACATGTTTTTTGTTTGTGGTTTCTGCTTTGATTTGGCTTCATTTGAGGAATCTATATTCCCCAGCAGTTATAACTTCTGTAAGATCTTGACGGAAAGTGGAGCAGAATCCTTTGTAATTCATGCATAGTAATTTAGTAATCAGGGGCACCTGCCTGAAATTACGATGTGTGGGGCAGTCACTTCAGGCACTTCTTTCAACTAGACCTTTATTTTGCCATTGGTGTCAAAAAGAAGATTGTAGTGTGTTTTATTTATTGAGTTATTTTGTTTATATTGGAGCTCCTTGCTAGAAATCTAACGAATGTGATCTTATTATAAGCCAGCAACAACTCTGGAAGGTCGGTGTTATTATTATCCATTTTACAGATAAGGAAACTCAGGCTGACTGGGTGATGTTAGTTTGCTAAAATGGCAGAGCTAATAAGTGGGAGAAATTCAGTCTGCCTCATTCTAAAGTCATACTTCAAAGCCAAATGCCCTTTAAGATTTTATGTGCGTCGGGAACTTATTTGATTTTGCTCGTTATTAAATATGTTTAATATTATTCACTTTGTCAATATGAAGGTGCATTGAAAACTTCAATTCTCTGTTGCAGATAAAGGAAGACCTAGGTCTAGAAAAATAGCAGAAAGTGGAAGAGGGAAACGATATTCATACAAATTACCTCAAGAATACAACATAGAGACTGTAGTGGTTGCAGACCCAGCAATGGTTTCCTATCATGGAGCAGATGCAGCCAGGAGATTCATTCTAACCATCTTAAATATGGTAGGCAAACTTTAAAGTGCGCTTGGAATTTTTTCAAGAAAACTCTAAGGAAGACGTGTGAGTATTTATAATGAAGTTCTTTAAAGTTAACTCGTTACTATTCCTTTCTCTTATTGTCATCACTTAAAAAAAATACTTAGGTATACAAAGTTGATCCATCTCAAAAGCAATATCAAAATAAAAATTCACATATTGTAAAAAAGAAAACACCCTTCTTGTTAATTTTGATGTGGCAAACCTCTTTCTATGTTACTCTTTTCTCTCTTTTTTTTGGTACTGTTCTTTTCCTTTTTTTTTTTTTTTAATATTTCCAGCCCCATTTATTTATGTATTTATTTGTTTATTTTGTTGGTACATAGTAGATGTATGTATTTATGGGGTAGATAAGATATTTTGATAGAGGCATAAATTTGGTGAAATTATCATGAATATTTTAATATATGTTTATATACATGGCCCCACAAAAGGACCATAGGTTAATTATGATGTGATATAAAAATGAATGTTGGTAATCCACTGAGATATTATATAGGTATGTAAAATGAATGTCAGATATGATTCTAGTTGATGAGCTAAAATTTTAACCAACTAAATCACAGGTGACTAACTTGAGTTGATGACTTCTGATTGTAGAAATCCTAGTATCTCGTCGCCTCTTAGATTTCATGCAATATTCCTTTAAGGATTATTTGCCTACTTACCTTGGAACTTTTACCAAAAAAAAAAAAAAAAAAAAAAAAAAAAAATCCTAGTATCTATCATGTGAGGGATGTTTTTTACCAAATTGATCCTTTGACTTAATTTCATACTCTGTTGGGCAAACCTCATTCAAGGAAGAATCAGAAGGTTGTAGTGAAGAGTGATTCTTACATGAGAATAAAGAGAAATAAATGTTGAAGGCAAATGTCCATTTATAAGTCAATTACCATTTAAGAATGGCTGATGTAATGATAAATATAGTCCCACTTTTTACTATGTTTGCTATCATTTGGCTGTTTTCCTGGGGAACAGAGTGTTTTTTTACACTTTAGATTTTTCTGTCCATATTCCATTACCTTCTGAGCACTCTTCTAGAATGGGATATATGGTAGATTAACACTGCCTAACAACCAGTCTTTTCTAAGTAGAAATATCTCTGAAAGCATGGGTTTGACGTAACAAAAAATTACTTTGCTTTGCAAGTTTTTTTTTTTTTTTTTTTTTTTTTTTTTTTTTTGCTTTGTCGCCCGGGCTCGTACGTTTTTTTTTTTTTTTTTTTTTTAAGATTTCTCAAATAAATTGAGACTTCTCCACGTACGGGCCTTGAGAAAAATTAAGACGACTTTCAGTTTAATTTTAGGATTTTTATTTTTATTTTTATTTGTTTTTAGGTTTTTAACCTTTTCCAACACAAGAGTCTGGGTGTGCAGGTCAATCTTCGTGTGATAAAGCTTATTCTGCTCCATGAAACTCCAGTAAGAAAGTCTTGAGTTTTTAATTAAATTAAATGGGTGAGAAATTTTGTTCAGAAACTTTTAAGTAAAGGGAATGTTAAGGTTGTACTTAAAAATCTGGAAATACCCATTGAATCACTTAAAGTATACATAAAACTGGCCTTTAGTTTTGGTTAATACCCCAATCTTATTTTAAAAATAGGATATTGTTAGTTTCCAAGAATCCTGAAAACAAATCTTAACTTTCCAAAGTATAATTTTAAGAAGTCATTTTAAATGACAGTTTTATTCTATTATTTAGATGTGTACTTTTAACACTTTTTATTTATTTTAAATGGGAACTATTCCATGGCATCATTTTGATATACTGCTTAACTGGCACTTTAGAAAATGTTGTTCTACATAGAAAATGTTGTTCTTAAGTTGTAGAAACAACAAGTTATTTTAGTCTAAAAGTTCCACATTATTAATTTAACCTCTCTGCTTTTTCAGAATACCATTAAACAGATTTTGTAGTTATTACCCCTTCACAACGCTTTAAGCTTTTAAGCTCAGAGTAAATCAAACCTGAATGTCTTCCAGGTTCTAATTAATGTTATGGTCAGCAGTTTGCTTTAGTAATTCAAGAGTGCCTTTGTTATTTGTTTTTTGTTTGTTTGTTTGTTTTGTTTTGCTTTTGTATATACCTAAGAATAATATGCCTTGTGATGAAATCTGTTATTTTGCAGCCAGATCTATATATTGGGCATCATGGAGAAAAAATGCTAGAGAGTTTTTGTAAGTGGCAACATGAAGAATTTGGCAAAAAGAATGATATACATTTGGAGATGTCAACAAGCTGGGGGGAAGACATGACTTCAGTGGATGCAGCTATACTTATAACAAGGTAAGTTTTCCAAAGCCAATTAAATGGCATTCCTAATTCAATTACTGCACTGTTAATCCCATTAATCCCTTAATAGATAATGTTTTTATTTCAGATTTCATGTTTCAAAAATGATTTTGGCGTAATGGTATTAGTCATCTCCCTCAATTTATAATAACAGATTTGTAAACAGCTAAATATTGGATGGCATATTGACAAAACATTTGGTTAGTTAATTCTAAAAAATTACCCTAAATTTTTTAGCTCAAAGGCATAGTTATTAATGATAAGCTAAAACTATGGTGAATTTTGTTGTAAGTTCAAAATTATGAATCTAGACTGTATGTTTTTCAGTCATCACCATATAAAGTAACCTAATATGTTAAATTCAGCAATTGAAAACCTTTCTGGCTCCAAGAAACAATTTCAATTAAGTCTCTGACTAATTATAAGCTACATTGTGAATGTACTACTAAAAAATATTTTTAATACAGCATTAAGTATAACATGTAAATAAATGTAAGTGAAATAATGAGCAACAATATGCTCTATATGATTAATATGTTTAATAATCATACATAATTGGTTTGCCTTGCTTAAAGTTGGTAAAAATAAGTAATTCATTGTGAACTAGCAATTTAATTTTAGTCATCAAAAGTGTTAGCATTTCACATCACAGAAAGCACAGTAGTGTAATTACATATGATTTTCTGAAATGAAATCATTGAAATCATTGCAATTTCTTATAATTAATACTAAAGGCAAATAATTCATAAAGTTGAAAAATCTCTAGGCAAGAACACAATTGGACTTCTACTTTCAGCTAAGTAGGTATAACTGATATTGAGCTTCTGCAATAAGCAATCATAATATTGGAAAATAAGAAGTCACTGCTTTTAGTCATTGGAGAATGAACAGGTAAGACTGCAATTCCTGAAAGAAGGGGAATTTATTATGCAAACCTTGCAGTCAACTCAGCTTTTTCCCTGGGAAAAATTTCTTAACTAGCGTAGCAAGGTAGAATCTAGGTAGAGCACAGTGATCCTGCTGAGGACACCAGAGATAAAAGTCTTAGGCATGGAGAGGTGCCATGAAGTACATGTGCTGACCACACATGAGAACTTGGCAATGGCTGGTCTGAATATAAACAGATAGAGGAGACTGCCCCAAATTTACCACAGGATTGCTGCTATGGAGTTCCAAATTTAAAAAGATACTAGGAATGAGCAAATTCAAAGCACAAGAGTGGAACAATCTTGTGATACCTTATCATCATTTTTAGCCTTAGGGGAGACAGAGCTTAGAGGTTGAATACCACCAATTTACAGAGGCTTTGGTATCATCTTGGATTTTTGATCAATCTTCCCTACCAAAAAATAAAGTCAAATTTATCTAAGTGCAGGATGATGAGCTAGTAATTGTGAACTGCCTCTTAAAACAGTTTTAAGCACTCTTCAGAGGAAGATAACAGAATAGCAAGTCACTCTAAAAGTATATCATTCACAATGTCCAGAGTATAATAAAAATTAGTCAAGCAAAGAAACATGAAAATGTGACCCATGGTCAATGAAAAATTAGTCAATAGAACTGACCTTGAGATAGCCTAGATGTTGGATTTAGCAGATGAATGCAGTTGTAATTGGAGTCTCAGAAGAAGAGAGTAAGAATGGGTAAGAAAAATTATTTGAAGACATAATGGCAAAAAATTCCACAAATTTGATGAAAAGCAACAAATATGGACCTAGGCATATCATAGGAAAGTTGGTGAAAACCAAAGAAAAACAGAAAAATTTCTGTCAGCCAGCAGGCTGAGCACTGAGGGGAGCAGAGGAAACATTAAACAGGAGGAACAATGTTCAAATAAATGACTTACTTCACATCCAAAAAAACAGTAAGCTCAAAAGACAATGAAACAACATTTCTAATGTACTGAAAGAAAGTAAACTAAAGAAATCCTATTAACCAAAAATGCTTACTGAGTTCTTGAGGTACTATCTTAATCTCTGAAAGGGTATCTATGAAAAAACATGTCTATAACTAATATCACAGCAAAAGGAGAAAACTGAACATTTTCTCCTTACAACTGAAAGCAAGGTAAGGATGTCTCCTCTTTCCACTTCTATCCAATATTGTACTGAAGATCATAACCAGTGTGGTAAAGCAGAAAAAAACAAAGGAAAAGCATACATATTTGGAATATAAAGAAAAATGTCTCTTATTCACAGATGATGTGAAATGGTACAAAGAATATTTTAAGAAATCTAGCAAAAATTTGCTAGAATTTGTAACTGGATTTTCAAGGCTACATCATGTAAAATCAGTTTTCAAAAACCAATTATGTTTATGTATACTGGAAGTGAACAATTGGAAAAAACTTATAGTGACTTCCAAAACCATAAAATACTTAAGAACAATTTTAGTAAAATATGTGTAAAACCTCTAAAACGAGAACTACACAGCACTGTTACGAGAAATTAAATATCTAAATAAAGATTAATTCATTGGAATACTAAATATTATTAAATGCCACTTTTCTCCAAATTGATTTATAGATTCAATATACTCCCAAGGAAACAACCTTTGCAGGCATGTTTTGTAGAAATTGACAAGCTGACTCCAGTACTAATTTGTAAAGGCAGAGGACCTAGAAGAATCAAAACAGTTTTGAAAAATAAGAACAAATTGAGGCCAGGTGCGGTGGCTCACACCTGTAATCCCAGCACTTAGGGTGGCTGAGGTGGGCAGATGGCCTGAGGCCAGGAATTCAAGACCAGCCTGGCCAATGTGACAAACCTCGTATCTACTAAAATTACAAAAATTAACTGGGCATGGTGGTGCATGCCTGTAGTCCCAGCTACTTGGGAGGCTGAGCCATGAGAATCGCTTGAATCCAGGAGGCAAAAGTTGCAGTGAGCCAAGATTGTGCTACTGCACTCCACCCTGGGCAACTGAACAAGACTCTGTCTCAAACAAACAAACAAAAAAACCCCAAAACCTTCCCATTCTGTCACAGTAATGAAAATGTATATATGTATATATATGAACAAATTGGATGGACTTACACTATATGATTTCAAAACTTACTCTAAAAGTTTGGAAATCAAGATAGTATGGTTTTGGCAAAGTCATGCAAATCAATGAAGCAAAATAAACGGTCTAGAAATAAACCCACATATATATGCTGCAATAAGCAATCATAATATTGGAAAATAAGAAGTCACTGCTTTTAGTCATTGAAGAATGAACAGGTAAGACTGCAATTCCTGAAAGAAGGGGAATTTATTATGCAAACCTTGCAGTCAACTCAGCTTTTTCCCTGGGAAAAATTTCTTAACTAGCGTAGCAAGGTAGAATCTAGGTAGAGCACAGTGATCCTGCTGAGGACACCAGAGATAAAAGTCTTAGGCATGGAGAGGTGCCATGAAGTACATGTGCTGACCACACATGAGAACTTGGCAATGGCTGGTCTGAATATAAACAGATAGAGGAGACTGCCCCAAATTTACCACAGGATTGCTGCTATGGAGTTCCAAATTTAAAAAGATACTAGGAATGAGCAAATTCAAAGCACAAGAGTGGAACAATCTTGTGATACCTTATCATCATTTTTAGCCTTAGGGGAGACAGAGCTTAGAGGTTGAATACCACCAATTTACAGAGGCTTTGGTATCATCTTGGATTTTTGATCAATCTTCCCTACCAAAAAATAAAGTCAAATTTATCTAAGTGCAGGATGATGAGCTAGTAATTGTGAACTGCCTCTTAAAACAGTTTTAAGCACTCTTCAGAGGAAGATAACAGAATAGCAAGTCACTCTAAAAGTATATCATTCACAATGTCCAGAGTATAATAAAAATTAGTCAAGCAAAGAAACATGAAAATGTGACCCATGGTCAATGAAAAATTAGTCAATAGAACTGACCTTGAGATAGCCTAGATGTTGGATTTAGCAGATGAATGCAGTTGTAATTGGAGTCTCAGAAGAAGAGAGTAAGAATGGGTAAGAAAAATTATTTGAAGACATAATGGCAAAAAATTCCACAAATTTGATGAAAAGCAACAAATATGGACCTAGGCATATCATAGGAAAGTTGGTGAAAACCAAAGAAAAACAGAAAAATTTCTGTCAGCCAGCAGGCTGAGCACTGAGGGGAGCAGAGGAAACATTAAACAGGAGGAACAATGTTCAAATAAATGACTTACTTCACATCCAAAAAAACAGTAAGCTCAAAAGACAATGAAACAACATTTCTAATGTACTGAAAGAAAGTAAACTAAAGAAATCCTATTAACCAAAAATGCTTACTGAGTTCTTGAGGTACTATCTTAATCTCTGAAAGGGTATCTATGAAAAAACATGTCTATAACTAATATCACAGCAAAAGGAGAAAACTGAACATTTTCTCCTTACAACTGAAAGCAAGGTAAGGATGTCTCCTCTTTCCACTTCTATCCAATATTGTACTGAAGATCATAACCAGTGTGGTAAAGCAGAAAAAAACAAAGGAAAAGCATACATATTTGGAATATAAAGAAAAATGTCTCTTATTCACAGATGATGTGAAATGGTACAAAGAATATTTTAAGAAATCTAGCAAAAATTTGCTAGAATTTGTAACTGGATTTTCAAGGCTACATCATGTAAAATCAGTTTTCAAAAACCAATTATGTTTATGTATACTGGAAGTGAACAATTGGAAAAAACTTATAGTGACTTCCAAAACCATAAAATACTTAAGAACAATTTTAGTAAAATATGTGTAAAACCTCTAAAACGAGAACTACACAGCACTGTTACGAGAAATTAAATATCTAAATAAAGATTAATTCATTGGAATACTAAATATTATTAAATGCCACTTTTCTCCAAATTGATTTATAGATTCAATATACTCCCAAGGAAACAACCTTTGCAGGCATGTTTTGTAGAAATTGACAAGCTGACTCCAGTACTAATTTGTAAAGGCAGAGGACCTAGAAGAATCAAAACAGTTTTGAAAAATAAGAACAAATTGAGGCCA